AAATTTTTCAAATAAATGGATATGTTTCACTTTCATTAGAATAAAACCCCCCAAAATTTAATGAGCCAATATATAGAAAACAGATTGGTGATTACAAGAGATGGGGGAGGGGCAGAAGGGGTGTGAAGTGGATGAAGGGGGTCAAAAGCACAAACTTTCACTTATAAAATAAAGTCATGGAGATGTAATATACAGCACAGCAACTATAGTTAATAATACTGTTTTGCATATTTGAAAATTGCTAAGAGAGTAAATCTTTAAAGTTCTCAACACAAGAAAAAATTTTTGTAGCTATGTATGGTAACAGGTGTTAACTAGACTTATTGTGGAGATCATTTTGCAATGTACACAAATACTAAGTTATTATATTGTACACCTGAAACTAATCTAATATTATATGTCAATTATACCTCAGTAAAATAATTAATTTAAAAATTTAATGAATCTTTTCATCTTGCCAAGCTGCAAAATGTTTGGCAGACAAAGGAGTATAATGGGAAGAATCCCAGAATCTCCAACATCATAGCTGAGGAAGAACAATAGCCTTTGTTTATTTTTCTGGTTTTCTTCATTATTAAAGTAATATAAGCATATTACAGAAAATGACAAAAGAAGGGGAAAATTACTGACAATTCCATCACTTTAACCCAGGGAGTATTTGATAATCCTGGAAACACTTTTGGTTGTTAGTGGGGTGAGAGAGAGGGTGCTACTATCTAGTGGTAAAGGCCAGGGATGCTGCTAAACATCCTAGAGTGCACAGGACAGGCCCCACAGCAAAGATCTACCTGGCCCAAAACATCAGTAGTGCCAAGGCTAAGAAACCTTGCAACCACTGTGAGCATTTCAGTATGTACTTTTCATCCATTCTTTTCCCCTATGAATCTTTTTTTTTAATAACTGTAACCTTATTATACACTTAACATCCATTTTTTCATTTAATATTATGACATAAACATTTTCCATTTTACTACATAATATTCATAAGCATCTTATTTAGTCATCCCATAATACTTAGTTTCCTTGTTATTAGGTATAGGATTGTTTCCAATTTTAAAAATATCCTAAGCATTTGTGTACTCAGCAAATATTTGTTATATACCTCCTGTGCACCAGGTCCCAGGCTAGGCCCTAAGGATAGATTTCCCCAAGTGGAATTGCTGAATAAGGAGAAAACATTTTCCTGGTTCTTGATACATGTGGATAATTGGTGCTGGTTACATTCTGTCTTCACCTAGCACTAGGTATTGTTTAAAAATTTTCTTTCCTAATTTAATTATAAAGTACAACTTGAATTTTTCATGGGTTTGTTGATTGTTTTAGTTTTTTTGTGAATTATCTGGTCATTTTTTTTTGCCTGTTTCTCTTACTGGTTTCTTACTAACCTGTACAAATCCTTCATGCTCATATATATACACACATACAAAAAGGAAAAAATAAGTCATCATCCTCCTCTTGCTAGTGATAGGTAAATAATTCTTACTTCTCTTCTTTGTCTGCCCTCTACATGGGAATAGGGATGGCAGCCAGGTCTGTGATAATACAAAGGTCATTGAAATGATGCTGCAGCAGCTATCTGTGTCCTTTCCTCAAACCAGAGTCGATTATACCACAATTATAAAATACTAATATGATATAAACACAAATACACTTACTGGGCAGAAGAAAACTTAAGATACCCTCAACTCCAAGGAAAGAACCACTGAATAAAACAGAGGGACATTAAACCCACTCGTGAATTACAACTAATTTTCCCAATGTTTATGCCATACTCTGCTGGAATTCCTATCCTTGAACGAATTTGGCTGAAATTTTTAGAGGTAATAAAAGTTTACTGGAAGGTGATGGATTAGATCTGATATTTACCTAATTCCTCACTATACTTCCTCTTCCAACAAGGCACCATTTCCTTGAAGTGCAGGCTTTGTTAGTGGAGGAACAGTGGAGGGAAAGATAGAGACCATGTGAATAAACATGGTCTTTGACTTCTAAATTCCACATCAGGGCAATTGGTCTAAAAGAACATGAACATCTTCTTCAGGTAAGAAACTCTGATGGTGTATCTGAATTCCCAGACAAAAACTAAGACATTGAAAGAGTAAGGAAATGTGAACTAGGGAAGAAGTGATGGTTCATTAGGATGAGGAACTAGGTTTGTCCCTGGGAGAACCCTGTATACCATTATGGAACTGATACTACTCTGTCTCCCTAAGGTAGAATGGGTAGGAGGAAAAAGGGGAAAGAACTCAACCTTTTGTTCTCAAAAAGAGAAGCAAGGAGGATCTTGATATCTGTTGGTTCGGGGACTCCTTTAAATTTTACCTGGTGTATATGAACTATGATTTGAGTAAAAAAATTCCTGGAGTTGGAAAATAGTCTCCAAGTGAACTGAAAATCCACCAGGTTAAGAGATCTGATCTATTAAACCTCTACTAAAAGAGAGCTGATCAAGAGAGCTGATTAAACCTCTACTAAAATATCAAACTCTATTGTACTCAACAAAACCCTGTGTCCAGACTCCTTCCCCTCAGTTGCACTGAGACATTCTTGTATATTTCCCAGGTGTGGCTTCAGTTGCCAACAGTTATTTCTGTGGCTTCCTTTAAGAACACACTCTGTTTGTTGTCCTGTAACCTCTGCCTACTCTCTTCCACTGAAAAAAAGGCTAACTTTTTTTTCAGAGTATCACAGTTCTTCTTAAAAACTGTCAACTGTCAATGTGAACTGGAACAAACTTTCTGGAAGGCAATTTTCGATTTGTATCAAAAAGCCTTTTAAACATCCAGACTTTGATCAAGTAGTTACACTTTTAAGAGTTAATCTGAAGGAAACAATCATCAACGTCCAGAGATTTATATGCAATGATGTTCAGTGAATGGCTAAGATAGAGAACCACTGTAAATAATCTTTATGTCCAGCATGAGGGATTAATTTTGTTTGATTATCCAGAGCCATGGCATGTAGCTATTTTTTTAAAAATCACATTTTTAGAAAGCAATTTAATTCATGGAAAATCATTCCTCTTAGGTGCAAAAAACAAGGAGGAACAATGATACATGAAGTGCTCTCTGCGTTATAAAACAAATCCAAACTCAGCTTTGACACAGGCTAAGCTCAATGCATCTAAGAAACATTTTCCCCCTTAGGCTCCTTTCTTCCATCTTCAGGACTACTTTAGGTCCTCAGAACAGATAGAGCGAAGAACTTCGGTTCGAGTTCGAGTATCCTGGCTCTCACAGCACGAAGGAACTTTAGAAGATGCTGCAGGTGCGATGACTGACCCACAGCAGACTGCTAGTGAGCCGCAGAGGGTGGACTAGAACCCAGGTGTCCCGATCTCCAGCCTAGGAATTTCCCTCTAGCGCCGGCTACCTACCTCAGGGCCACATTCATGAACATGAAGAAACATGTATGTACTTACAAGACTGACATTAAGCAAAACTGAATTCCGTCTAGTGAAAGGCTAAACGTGTTCCTTGCTGTTATTAACCTCGTCAGGTAATCGGTTCTACTGCACCCAAACCATCACGCTTCCCCTTTGCCTTCTCCTCTCTCCACCCCAAAGAAAGAGGCTATTGACAGTCTGTTTTAAAGTGCCGAGCGAGATGACCAAAGATGCTGGCCAGTGAGCGAGAGCGTTCCCTACCTGCGAACGGGGACTCGCGGCGGGCGCGGAGGCTGCGGCGCTGAGCCTGGGACTGTGATGACCCCCCGCGGCGGGCGGCTAATAAGCTTAGCTTTTTCGGTGAGTTCCCCGCCCACCCCTGACCGAAGACCCAACCCGCTGACGCTGGCTGGGTAAATTTGGACTTTAAATTCTTGGAATAAAAACCGTAATGGAAACCAAAAGTGAAACTTAATCCAGTTCCCGTAAAAGAAAAGTTTCAAGGATTAAGACAAATCAACATCTGATGTTTTAAACAAAGGTTTAAAAACAAAACCACGTCTTTGAGATGATTTCAGATGGTTTTACCTTTAGAATCCGCACTCTAAATTCTGCCACGAGGGGGAACCTTTTCTGATAAAACATTTTTTTACAAGACCATCTTGTAAAAAATCATCTTGACATAACTTGATATAAATCTACACTATATAGAAAGTGAAATGACAGGCCCACATGCCTTCGATTTTTATTCTTGAAAGTAGTTGTGTATGTATAATAGGAAATATATTTTTAAAACGTGGATTTGGTCACTTCCTCAAAGTTCCTCGACATAGTGAAATTTCAATTGCTTTGTCATTAAAGTAACTTCCCATGATGACTTAACACCTTTTAAGAATGTTTGGGATCGTTGCTATCTTGCTGTCTTTGAGATCCAGCTTGGGGTAGCACACGCTAGGTGAAGGTTAAGAAAATCCTCTGGTAACTCCGGATCAATGATGGAGCCCAAGATGAAACCCCGTGACTCACACAGAGGTGCTGACAGAAAGCACCCCCACTACTTGAATTTCCAGATGCTGCTTTCACCCTTGCTCTTCCCTCTCCGGCTCTCTAGTGCTGTCTCACTCGTTCTTTCCTCCTCCTTTCCTCCCACCTTTCCTTCCTTCTTTCCTTTCTTTCTTACTTCTTTCTTTGTAATTTTAAGTTGATAAATTAGACTCTTCATTGTTTGCCTTTCATGTTTATTCTTTTCAACTGCAATCCGAAATACTACATAGTGAATGAATACTGAGATGTCCTTGGCTTGATTATGGCATTTGCTTCGCAAGTAAGAATTTTTACATTCTTAGAATATCACCTATTTTTATTTCTTAACCTAGAAAAGTACAGATGACAATACTGTCTTTAACATCTGGTGGGGAATGTGAAATTCTCTTTAGCTTCAATAAAATTGTGATGGACTTGGAGATTCAGCTCAGATGCTTCCTCTTTCATATTTCTTTTTGGGGCCAAATAGTGGAATAGTGTATAGTTTTCTCAACTTTATTCCCTGTGATATTTTCTATTTAATCAATTTTATTTTTCTAAAAATGACAGTCAAGACCCAGCACATAGATTTCAAGACCTACTAGTTTGGTCATGATTATCAAGTGGGAAAAAGCCGGCTCTAGAGCCACCTACAACTAATCAGCTGAGCTTCCTTGAGCAAATAATTTACTGAGTAGGCAGGATTAAGTAGTATCCTCTTAGATGGCCCCTATGATCTATGAATAGTTTTTTTAATTGGATGGGGGGGCACAATGCTTACTTGCTTATTTATTTCTTTTACCAAAGCACATAAAGATCAGTAGGGAAGGCAGGAGGTGAATGGAATTTGTCTTTTTCTAAAGTTGTTGAGGGGAATGGAAGGTATTTACTCAGCTTGCTGCTCAGTGATTTACATATTAGTAATCTGAGGACCTGTGATTTTGTTCATCTCACCCATTTGTTTCCACCCCTCAGCCATTCATTTTCCTACACAGTTTATCAAGTTTCTTAATGAAGTTTTTATTTCCTCTGGAGACAGAAAAACAGGATGTGTTTAGAAAAAAAGAGATTTTACCACTTCAAAAAAGTATATGAAAATCAGAACAGCCAGGGGGGCATTCGTACCAGAACTTTGCGCAGATTTTGTGATTTGGGAGAAGTGGACGGAGAGGTGCTGAGATTGGAGACAAGCAGTGGGAAGCCAGAGGTGCAAAACTAGACACCCTGATCATCTCCAGCATCACCATTTCCCATTCATGCCCCTCTCATTCTGTTCATTTTTAGGGGTTAAAAACTCATCTCTTACGGAATTGCCTCCAGGAATATTATTTTATACTCATTCTTGGTTTTAAACTAAGAACAATATGAGTTCCTAAACTCTTCAAAACCTCTACTTTAAAGGGAAAAACTGTTTTTTTGTTTTCTGGTATGAGTTAACTGGTTATTCAAAGGCCAATTATAGTAACATCGAGGTTATTGGATATAGAAGCTAATTAATCTGCCACTCATGTCTGTAGGTAGACTCATCATAAAAGAATAAAAAGTACTTTTTCTTTTCTTTTCCCCACCCTTTCCTGAAAGGACAGCAAGGCCTTTCTGTTCCTCAAGAGAGAGAGATTCTAAACATAAACTAATAAACAGAAATTTCAGATACTGGAAAGTCCCATTAAAAAAACAAGAAAGATAATGAGGTGAGACAATGTGGTAGAATGCCTAGATATGAGGCTCCTTTAGTTATCGTGACCAGGGAAGGCTTCTCTAAGAGGTGATATTTGAGAAATGAATTATGAAGACAACCATAAAATTATCTGCAGGAAAAGCACTCCTGGCAGAGGGGTCAACAGAGGCAAAAACCATAAGGAGAGAACAGACTCGGCAAATTCTAAGGATGGAATGAAGGTCACTGTGGCTGGAGTACAGAGTGAAGGGAGAGGTAGTGATCAGATCACACCATGAAGGGTTTTAAGGACTAAGGGAAGAGGATTGGATTGTAATCACAATGGAAAGGCACTGGATAACTTGAAGCAGGAGAGTTACCTGATGAATGTTCCCAAAATATCACTCTAACTGTGGTCTGAAGCATGGAGTATAGGGGTGACAGCATGGAAGCTGGGAGACCTTGAGGAACTGTTGCTATGGACTACATTCAAAATGTAATTTGGAAGTAGAACTAATAGAACTTGTTGATGGATATTAGTAGTCAGAAAAAGGAATCAAGGATGATAGAAATATTTTTAATACACTGTTCTGGAGTAGAGTATTATAGTCAGAGTTTCAGGCTTTCACAGTATTTGTGAGCTCTTTAAATTAAGGAAAGCCTAAAAATGAAACATATGCTCTCCCACTAAATTATCAATTGGAAATCTGTTTTAACCCATCAAGAGACTCAAAATTTCTTAAGAAGAAATTACATTCCTTTCTAGAAATGGAAAGTTGGTGGCATTATGTTGGAAGTGGCCCAAGGCCTTGGTCTTGCTCCTGAGACTTGCTATTAATCGGGCTGCAAAATGACAGGTCCAGGTCACTTTTTATGAGAAGTGGAAGAAATTCATTGGGAGCACTGTGCCAGAAATGAGAGGAAAAGGCTCTGAGTAGTGGTTAGAACATTTCTTTGCATGGTATGCAGAGGGAAGGCCTCAGAGGCTGAGACATGCCATCAGCTAAGGCATTATTATTAAGAGATGTGTGTGTGTGTGTGTGTGTGTGTGTGTGTGTGTGTGTATGAACTCTAGGGATGAACTGTTTTAATTTACAGAATATGGCAGAGTTGAGAGTAAGTGGAAAGCACAGGTTTCATTTGTGCCTGTGCATGAACAAGCCAAGTAGAAATATGTGAATTACAGACTAGAGTTACAGACATTTTACAATCCCAAGCAAATGCCGTTGACCCAGAAAATCTTGCTAATTTTGTACCAATCAGAGCTGATGAAGCAAAACAGAAGAATTTAGCAGCATTTTAAGAGTGCGATAGGATAGTGCCACTGTGGCTTCAAACATTGAAGTAAACTTGGAAAGTCAGAAGCAACATAAGGCATATTTTTACCCCTTTAAGTCCAACTTGCTCAAGGGAAAGCCCCAGGGGGTGAAGATAAGCAGTTTCCCCAAACCCAGTGAGGGCTGGCCTAAGTTTGGGTTGGAAAAAGCAGTTCTGGTTTGCTTCTGGTATAGTAGGGTTGGTCTCAAGCAAAATCACTGGGTATCCATTACTCTGTATTTCACAAACTCAAACAGTTATGAAGTAACCCTTATTTGCTTGGTTTTGATAAAGGGGATAATTAATGCCTGCTGTAACTACAAAAAATTAGCACAGTTAACTCATCTTCTTTCATGTTTTCCTGGTGGGAAAGAGGAAGATGGGGAGTTGACATGAGGAAGAACAGATTCTAACATTATTATTATTATTGACATCCTTGTTCCCAGGGTTGCTTTGAAAAAATTTAATGGATATGGCCAGGCCAAGCTATGCAGCACTTCCAAGATGCTTGCCATAGAAGGAGGAGAAAAAGAATAAAAACTGAAGGCTGGGTATGGTTTTCTGATGTCCCTGAATGGCACAAACAGATGTAGTATCCCTCTTGTGAAGAGATGCAAAGAAGAGAGACTATACAATAAGGTAGATCATTTTATCCATTAGAGTTCAGGGACTGTTTTCAGTTTAAAAGAAAAAAAAGGTATTCAGGGTAGGAGACCATGCTGAATTTGTCACAGGTGCAGGAGGCTTAGAGTCACTGGCTAAAATTATGTGAGTGGCATGAGCTGTAGATGGAGGAAGTCTTCAGGAGTTTAGTCTAGTGATATGGAGAATTTATAGTTGAGAAGTAGGAAAAATATAAGCAGTTACTGTGAGTGGAAAAAAATTTGGAAAGAGAAATATCTAGAGAAGAGTTTAGGAGTTTCCTGTTAAATATGCTGTGCAGAGCGTTTGCAAGGACTCCTTAAGAAAGCTGACATATCATTCTTCAGTGCTTCAGCAGTGAGTTTATGTTTTCTTAGAATGCTATTACATGCTTGGACTGAACTATGTAAAGCCTCAGTTTTATACACGTTACACTCTGAAATATAATCACCCTCTGCTCAAAAAAGCTTTCCTCGACTTGGCCGCCTCCTTAAATTACTGTCATCTCTGATTATTCCATTTCAATGGCAATCCTCAAAAAACTACATCATCACTTTTTCAACTATCAAATTAACAAGACAAAATGCAATAATTATAATAAAGACTAAAAACAGTAATAGTAAAACATACAGCATTTTTATAAGTCAGACATTGTCTTGGTGATTTACATATACTACCTCATTTAAATTTTACAACAATCCTATGAAGAAGATACCATTATTGCTCCTATTTTATAGATGTGGATACTGAGGTACAAAACTTAAGTTACAAGCTACAAAGTGATACAGCTGTGATTTGAACCCAGGTACTCTGGCTTCATTGTCTATGCTCCTAACTACTATATAATTGTATGGTGAAATTAGTATCTTTATTC